GCCGTCGTTTACATACCTACTTTAAATTTTCTGCTTGACACCTACTCGCGCCGGCCCACTATGCGTCGCGAAGCGGAAATAGGATTTTACTTACTTTTCAGAAAAAAATTTTAAATTTTAATATTTTAAAATTTTTTAACTGAAACAAGTTAGTATTAGTTAATAAAAAAAGTTTTTTTAAATTTTTTTTAAATTTGCCTTTTTAGGTGCGGGATTTTCAGGGGTAAAAAAACACATGTTTTCACTAAATCTTTAAATTACATAAGATAATTTTCAAATTTCTTCATTTTTTTTGCACATTTCCTAATAAATGATACATTTTGTAAATTAAAAACCAAGAAAAGAAAAAAAAAATGTTTGGATCATTGTTTTTAGGTGTCTGTAAAGATTGATCGATTAGACCAGGTTACTACAGAGGTAGCCAGTTTTTCATTTTTTTAAAATTTTCTCAAACAAATTGACTTTTTATAAGTGAAATAATATTCTGGCTACCTTTGTAGTAACATGCTATAGAATCAATTCAAAAGAGCTGGATTTATTAAAAACCGGTTAGTTAGTTTTTGTCAAGAAAAAACTGGATGCGGGCGGAACATTCTTTTCTAGTCTTTAAGTTATAACCTAAGTTATGGCTCTCATCGTGATTTAGAATTTTTTAAAAATGGTTACTTTTAATCTTAGCAAACTTCTGGCTGATGATTTTCCTCCAAGGCATATTTTCACGAGTAAAAATGTATCTGAATGTGCTATATTTTTGCAGTCCAAGTTTTTATCACTTTATGCTGATTGCACTGTGAATTTCAACATTTTCAAAAGTCTGGCTTTTAATTTAATAAAAAAACTTAATGAGTGTGGAAAAAGAAAAAAGTTCTTTCTTACTAAATATAAACATTTTTTGGATCAAAATCAACAATGCAAATATCTCTTGTGAGTATAATATATTCTATATTGATTTATCATAAATAAGTAATAAATATTGCATTATAGTATATATATTATATTATATATATGTATATATATATATATATATATATATATATATATATATATATATATATATATATATATATATATATATATATATATATATATATATATATATATTATACTTGTGCGTGTAGATTAGAAAAAGATTCTGAAAAAGAGATTAGAAAACATGAGGAAGAACTGCTATTAATTAGAAAAGGTGAAAATCTGATTAAACAGGGTAATCAACTTATCAAGCAGGGTGAGCGTAAAATAAAAGAAGGGGAATTACTGCTTCGTACTCATGGATCCAATGTAAACAGGTATGCATAGATAAATGTGTCTCCCTCTCTTTATTTTGCACACACACACATACTAATTGTTTGACTATGTTTCACATAACCTTCAAAATGTATATATGTTTCAATGTATTTTTTATTATTTATAGTGTACCATGTAGAGTACCTAAATCATCTGCAGTCAATATATCTTGTACACCAAAACCTAGAAAGTCTTTTAAGCTTAAAAATTAAAAATTAAGCTTAAAAACAGGATGAAGCGTAAAAGAACAGATAGTTTTAGAGAACGAGAGGTGGAAGAACTGCAACATGCTGTCAAAAGGTTTAAATCTAATTCTTCTACTAATGGTAGGGCTATTTTATATGGTTCAAATTTGTCATTGCAAGCTCTTTGTAATTTGAAACTTACAGATAGAACATGGACTGAATTTAAAAATATAGTGACTCATAATCGTCTTCAGGTTTAACCAAGTTGAAGCAATACAAAAAATTGACATATTTAGAACAGGTTGAATATTCTGAAACAGAAGTAAAATGTAGTCTTTTCCATATGATAAAGCATTCAGTTTCTAGAGTGTTTGAATACCTTTTGGATTATGAAAGTAACTGCATAATGAGTTTATCACAAGAAGAGCGCGATAATGTACAAATTATTTGCAAAGTAGGAGGTGATGGTCAAAGTGATCAATCTGGGTTTCAAAATTCAGCAACTATGAAAAGAGGTGTAGATGATCGCTCTGTGTATAGTATAGTGTTTGTACTACTGGAGATCCGAAGTGGAGAAAAAATGGAAAAATTTAATTCCAAATAGTCCAGATGCAACCCATCATCTTTTTTGTTTTGCAAAAGAGACTGCTAGTTTTATTCAGGAAAAATTTGAACATTTGAAAAATGAAATTTTTTTATTGAAGAATATTGAATTTAAACTTGGTAAAAGTACTTTTGTAGTTAAGTCTAGTTTGTCAACTATTTATACCACAATGAATGATGGCAAAACACTAAACGCTGTTGTATCAAATATGCTTAAAAAAAAAATTTCACCTCAGTCCTGCCATGTATGCCTTGCAAAATCTAAGGAGTTTAACTTGAAAACTATTTGGAAAAAAAATATTAATTTAAACAAGCATGTTTTGAAACTTGGAATTTGCAGTCTTCATCTATGGATGCGCTGTATGAAGTGGATTTTCAATACTGCTTGTAAACTCCCAGCTGTTAAGCAAGGAAGAAATATTCCATCACAAAAGAGTAAAGAATTTATTGAAAACAAAAAAAAATTCCAGCATTTATTCAAGATACAACTGAATATAAGGGTTTCTTTTGTCAGGAAAGGATGTGGAACAACCAATACTGGAAATGTTGCTCGCAAATTTTTTAATAACCCGATTGTGACAGGGAGAATTTTAAACTTGGATATCAGAATGATTAGGTTGTTTCGAGATTTACTCATTGATATAAACAGAACAACTACAAGACCGGATATAAAGGTTTTCAAACAGAAATCTGAACATCTATTTGCACTCATAACTAATGATAAATTTTTAAAAAAACCATACCTAAGTCACAATCTGTGCATAGAGTGATAGTTCATGGTACTTCTTTTATAAGGTATTTTAAGTATCCGATAGGTTCTTTGTCTGAGAGTGCTATTGAAGCCAGAAATAAGGAAAACAAAACTGCTCGAATTGGTCATGCTCGTTTAACCTCTTTTGCAGAAAACACTAGGGATACAGCTAATTATTTGTTTATGACATCTGATATGTACCTCTTTTGCAAAAAAAAACAAAATGAATAAAAAAAGAAAGCAAAATTCTTCTGATAACTGCTTAAAATAAAGGTAAAATAGTTTTATTAATATTGTTAATAGTTTTGATTGATTTTTTTTTTTGGTTAGGCAATCTCATAATTTTGGTTAATTAACAATTCAAAGTTGCGTTTTTTTTTTTGTTTTTTTTTATGTTTTTTAAAATAAATTTAAGAAATAATTTAATCAATTTTAACAAGTAATTAACTATTTTAGGAAGTAAGACCATGAAGAACCATACTGATGAGCTGTTCTGCGTTGAATTTTCAAAAAACGGCTATTTTCATAGCCACAAGTTATTAAAAACATCTATTAGAATAGAACGTTGAGAAACTGTGAAAGAATGCAAAGAGTATGATAGCATGATAGATATCATATGATAGCAGAGTATGATAGTATGATAGATATCATATGATAGCAGAGTTGTTTATTATATTTAATGATATTGTTTATTTTGAAATAGCGTTCATATACATAGTTTGTAAAATTCTATAAAATATAAGCGCCTACTTTTTTTGAATAATCATCCGGACTTGTGTAGTTTTCCGGACAAATCTAGAATTAGTCCGGACTAACCGAAAAAAAAAATACAATTAACTGTTTTTTTATGAAAACCGAATATGATTCTTTTAAATATAGAAATATAAATAAAAATTCGATATCTTGTGAAAAAATAAGTTAAATATTTTAAGTCTTTATTTATATGCCTATTTCCTCATTTTGTATAAGAGCAACGCATAGTGCGGCCCTACTTTCAAAGGTGTGTATGCAGCAATATCTCCAGCAATGGCGGCTGAACTACAAATGAAAGACGTACATCCATTCTTAATTAGGAAACAAATGACACCATGTTTTCCTAACTTTGCTATACTCTATAAATCGACTCGACTCTTCCTTTTACATCTGCTTATAATGAGGGAAGTTTCAGTAGATTAAAGATTATCAAAAATTATTTGTGATCAACAATAACAAACGAATGTCATTCTGGATTGGCATTCACTTTAATTGAACGTTAGCTTGACTAAAAGTATTGACTTTGAATTGTCAATAAATCATTTTGCTTCAACCCAGCAGGCACATTGTCCGTTAGAAATCTAAAAAACGTCTTAAAGACGTCACAAGTCTGTACGATGTCCTTAAGACGTTCAACAACATTCTGTACCTGCTTGAAATAGAAAAAAATTTGTATAAACTAGCAGGAAAGTAAATTTTTTTTGTAATGTTTGTTTTCTGTAATATTTTTTTAGTATAAGTACATTTTTATAAAACCGTTTCGTTTTTTTAACAATAGTTGTTAACCAAAGTAAGTAAACTTAGCAAGCTCAAATTTTAGATCGTTTAGTGTTTTAGACATACTTAATAGTTATGATAAAAGGCACATAGAAGCATCGATAAAATATATGTATTACAAGTGCGATTCTCCAAAACAAAAGTTTTTGGGGGTTAATTGCCACCCCCAATCACTATCGCCCCCTATTCATTCCCCTTGCGCCACCATAACGCTAAACACCAGTCCGATATATATATATATATATATATATATATATATATATATATATATATATATATATATATATATATATAGTCGTTTCATTTATATAAATATATAGTGTTGTTTCATTTCTTAAAAAAGTGTAACTCTCGTATCACAAATGTGTAAATGTTGTCAAAAAAAAACTCCTTTCACTAAAATCAAAATCTTATGCGTCAATGTCTTGTCAATCAGTTGTTCAAGTTGTAACTTATTTGGACCAAATTGGTGCCGTACACTCGCTTTTTCCGATACGGTTTAGGGTTTTTGATAGAAACTTAGGTTTCCGTTGGAGCAGTAATAAATTATATTTCTCATTACAAATTAAGAAAAAAAAAAAGAGATTAATAAGATTACTGTAAAACAAAAAAAAAAAGATTTTAGTAAAAAAAAATTCGATAAAAAATTGATTTAAGATTTGATTAAAATGAGGAAAAAAAACATTTTTCTACAGGCTAAACATCTATCCAGTATTCATTTAGAAATCAACCAATATACTTTATTTTTAAAAGTAATTAGAAGTTAATAATGCTTATTATCTTCTGGTTCATCTACCACGGAATCATCTTTTACAAAAGTGATATTTTGATTCTGCACCAAAGTTACGTTGTAGCTGTTCTTTAAATTGTGTGTCGAGAAGTTATTTAAGCCTGAAAATAAATGCATGGTTTTCATTAGCGTTAAATTTTGTTTTAAGCAATACTACTGTATTACTTAAAACTGCTGTACTGTGTATGTATGTATACTAAAATTGCTGTACTGTATATAATACTGTCTAAAAAGTTTTAAAACTTGAACACAGTTATCAGCATTTTTATATATATGACAATGTGTAACAATACTTTATATAGTCATAATCATATATTATACATATAATATTTTTTAATAATAATACAAAACTTGCTTAAATATTATTTATATAAATGATTCCAACATTTTAATTCTAGTATACAAACAATATTATTGATAGAATTTAAGGAAGTAACAAGACACAACTTACATTGTTGTACAAACAATATCTATATAATATAGGATCAGTTATATATTTTGTTTATTATTTTCATAAAATTAAAACTGGCGATCTCCAATTTACTCTCATTTAGTTCTAATCTATACAAATATTTTAACAACAAAAAATGGTATACATTAGTAATGTTACCAAAGTATAAATTAAATTTGAAGCGGAATCACGGAAAGAACAGAAAAACTCAAATTTTAGTTTAGTAACCAATAGTAGATAACTTTTATTCCTCGGAAAATATAAGTTTCAGCTCTATACTTTTTTTTTTTTTTTTTTAAATATTTTAAACATTAGTAAAGATTCCCAAGATTGCACTATGCATCATAGAGTCACAATCGTTTAAATGCAGTTCACGAATGATCACGCATGAAAATTTTGTCAAAAGCGAATTTGTCAATTTTATGCAACTGGAAATACTCATTAGCAATTAACTTAAAATTATTTTTATGAAAATCAACTGCTACTATACGACTCATATTTAATATATTTTTGATGAGAAATGGCAGTTATCAATTATTTCTAGCGAGAGTATAGTTTTGAAAATTATTGTATATTTCTCAGCCTGTAGCGATCTTATTACGCAAATAAAAAAAAAAAAAAAAAAAAAAAAAAAATTATATACTTAATTTATTCAAGTAGCCTAAAATATGATAAAAATATTTTTGTAATAATTGTTCTTTAAGAAAATCATAATAGCATGCTTATTGCTTTAAATTTCAGATTTTAATTGCTAAAACAAAGAAAAACGAAAATTCACGAACAGAAATAAAAATGCCCTTTGTTAATGCTTATGATTTTTTCTACAAAAAAATTAATATCTTGCCTCATATCTTTTATTTCTATATTTTTTAAGGTTAAGTTTTTTCTTATATAAAATAACATACATAATACTGCTCAAAATATGGCTTAGCAAACTCAAATCGTCGGTGACAGTAACCCTATTTATTCTTCTAAATACGTCGCAGGTATCAATGCTATTATACAATATAAAAGATATAATTGAGATACAAGTTAGCGCTGTTACATAATATAATGTAATAGTTTTTCCACAAAATCACGTGAACAAATAGTCATAAGAAAAGACATTTTGTAATATCTTGTTGTACTCACCTTTTTTTGATATCTTGTTGCACTGACCTTTTTGGTGAACAATTCTTGTAACTGTGCTATAACACAGTATTAATATAGCAGTACAAAAAATGTAGGGTTCTGTTTATAAAAACTGCAAGTTCGATTTGTAAAAACATAGAAGTATAAAAATTCAAAAATTTCTAATATCTAAATTCAACTAACCGTGTTTAAAGAGTAAATTTATAGTCTTTGAATCAAATCCAAAATCATTATTTACTTCACATTTATAGACACCGACATCTGCACTAGTTAGCTTAAAAATAAAATTTTAAAGATAAAAAATAATAGGAAATAAATCATCAACTTCAAAAAACTTAAACTCAAAAATTATAATTAATGCAATTAAAATATAGATTTCATATAAGCATCCTGATCTAAATATAATAACCATGATTGATACCCTGATAATAACAAATACCTTAAATATGTGTAAATCGCCATTAAAATTAAGAACAGAGTTGTTAGTATAGATAAAAGAAACATCATTTTTGAACCAAATTCGTGATGGAATTGGTGCTCCGGTTGCATTGCATTGAAGTGTTATGGATTGATCTGATTCGATAAAAAATGTCTCGTTTTTCGGCGATAAAATTGTTGCTCGTACTAAAATAATGTTTTAATAAATCTTTAATATGAAATAATTAGTACTAAAAAAATATTTAATATGAAATAATTAGTACTAAGATTAATATTATACTTATATGACAATATTATATAAATATATTTATATATTTTTATATAATAAATATATAAAAATATTTAAAATACTTCCTATGGAAACTTTAGAAAATGCTACTCCAGACCATTGCTTATTCGTTGCAATGCACGTGTAATGACCTGCTGAAGTTCTTTGTATACTTTTTATATATAAAATCCCAGAAGTCATTTGAAATAAAGAATCTGATGAAAGAAGCAAAACACCATCTTTTAACCATGTAAAGTTGGAAACAACATTTGAATTGCACTTCAAAAATAATGTAGACCCTTGTAATAAGATAACAGACTTTGGTAATACGGTAACAAGCATTTTGTCAGGGTTTTCTTAAAAAAAAGTTTTTTTTAAATAAATATGAATGTCCTCCCAATATCTTCTAAAATCAGCTAGATTATCATGCTAAAACAGAATATAAAATGTAAAATATAAAATATAAAATATACCACATTTGAACAAACTTGCATTAATACTGGAAATATCTTTTCCCGATAAAAAATCAGGTTTCTCACAAAAAATTGTTGTGTTAACATTTCTTTTGTTTAACCATGTTTTAAGCCATAATATATTGCAGTCACATTGCAAATTGTTACTTTTAATTAGACGTAACCTTCTGCTAGACTGTGCTAGAGATAATGGTGCATACCAAACGCTGTATTTGAAATACAAAAAATTTTTAATTTTTTTTTCATTGGATGCAATTGGTGAAATATAAAATCACATACATTGATCTTAATCGTTCAAAATGATCAAATGAACCTTCTTCGATAAATGAAATGCTATTGAAAAATATGACGCTAAAAGAAAATATAAAATATCAAAACCAAGCCCTTTTAAAAAAAATTGGTTCCATGTAAATAAATGCTAAAGTTTATCATAAAATTACAGTTAGGCGTCACCTATTCAGGAACAAACTAGTCTAATATACCATATATATATATATATATATATATATATATATATATATATATATATATATATATATATATATATATATATATATATATATATATATATATATATATATATATATATATATATATACATAACTGTAATTTCATATATTTTATATATATATATTTATACGTAAGTGTATATATATGAATAAAGAAAATATCTTTATATTATCATGTATAATATTGTATACTTAAAAGAGTGCTCAATAGATAAAATAGAGCTATATAGTATATATGTTAGTTTACCCGCAGAACCAAGAATTAGCTAAATGCTAATGTTTATAATATAACTTAATATTGCAACTCTGAGTTTCATGTGTTACCACAATCATCAGGCAAGTAGTAATTAATTTTGCTACGATTTGTTTAGTGAACATTATGGTTTATATTTATAAATATATATATATATATATATATATATATATATATATAAATATATATATATATATATATATATATATATTATATATATATATATATATATATATATATATATATGTATATATATATATATATGTATATATATATATATATATATATATATATATATATATATATATATATATATATATATATATATATATATATATATATATATATATATATATTTATATATATTTTTTCAATCTCTTTTTTTTTCAACTAATTCACCCTCAACAATGCTGCAAGTAACCACTATTAAGTTGGAAGTTATTAACCATTATTAAGTTAAAAAAAAAAAGAATATTGTTAAAGAACAAGAAAACGGTTGACAGAAGACTTGAAAAATTGTAAGTTGTATGAGCAAGGAAAAAATAAAAATGAGAGAGTTCCAAAGCATTGATGAGGGTACAACAATGAGAGGGTGGCTAAAGCTTGACAGTTAGAGCAGATTCAACTGCATATACAAGATCTTGTCATATCTCAAAAGTTACAAAAAATAAAGTGTTGGCCTTCTCGGATGATTTAATACTGCAGTTAGAAAGAAATGATATTAAAAACAGATACACCATATGAAGCAACCTCATAGAGAAAACAAGCATGCAAAACTTTATTAAAAGCTTTTGACATGTCAAAAGCAATAGCCCTTGCTTCAACAGCCTCCATCTAAGGTAGCGAGACAAAGATAAAATTTTTCAGTTACTGCAATTAGCAAGTCTGCCAAAGAACAAGAAGATCATTCATACTGATTAGGGGAGAGTGTGTATGAAAGAGCCAGTTTTAAAAAGGAATAAAAAAAAGTCAATTGGGGTTAATTTTTTTTTTTTTTTCTAAATAGTTACTTTATTGGGTAATATTATAGAATTAAAATAAATTGGATAAAAATGCTAAAAACCTGTCATAAACCTATTTTTAAAAAAGATAGAAAACGGCTCTTTTATAACATTGTGTCAATGAAAGAGCCACCACTGTTCCATGAATAAGCCGTAACTTTTTTTTGAACACTATCAAGTCTTTTTTAAATATTGAACTGTTAAATAGACTTCTAAAAACCTGATTGTACTTAAAGTTTTATAGCTCTATGATAATCAATGATAAAACAAATAATAAAACAGCTTTAATAATAGTTTTCCAAATTATTCAAAATCAAAAACTACAAAATCAAAAACTACAAAAACATCAGAAACATTTTTGGCAGAAGAAGTTAATCACACCTTTGAAGCCACAAGATTCATGTGCCCATCCTTCACATACCTTGCACTGGTACCATTCTTCGTTGGTCTTACCATATTGTCCATTACATGTAATACAATGATTTTTATCATCCCCTTCACAAACATTCTGTTTTTTTATTTCTGATAAATCTATTTTATCATTGGAGCTTGCATCATTGTGCAATGATATGGTACCACTAGAATCAATGGAATCATACTTTTTTTTTCTATATTTTTTTGTTTTAAACTTCTTAATAACACTTTTTTTAGGATGTTTTTTTGTTTCTTTCCCTTCAATTTTATTTTTCTCAGGAGTGTCTGTGATTATAGCAGAGGCCATTTTACGATAATGAGAATGAGAATAAGGAAATAACATAATAAATATACATAATAATATAATAAATACATAATAGTAAAATAAAATGATTCAAACAATACAAAAAAAGTTTAAAAAAATTATTTATACTTTAAAAAAAAAATATGACTTTTTCAGAACTTTGACTTAAAATTTTTATTAAATATTATTTTAAATTCTAACGGAGCTATGTTTTACAACTTCAGGAAAAGTCATTAAAACAACTTATTTAGATAGAATAAGCTCATTGAAGCGTTACGAAAAATATATGAAGTCGTTAAAGCGCGAAACAATTAATTAGTTTAAAAAAAAACTAAATAGAAAAAACCGACTCATTCATAGCATAAAAAGTCGGCTCTTTCAACAAATTGTATGTTTATAAAAATAAACTCAAATTAAACATTTTTTACCGAAACTTTAATCTAATATTTTTTGTGTAAATGAAGGGCAAGTATATATATAACAACGAGGCATATATCTTTTATCAAATAATAAAATACACTTTATCTTAAAAACAAATAAGTAAACCCCCAAAAAATTACTTTTTGTGTTCAAAATATTTAGTGCAGCCTAACGGCGCTATTTATTTTAGTAGAACTATAAATTTTTTGTGGGTGACTTGTATCCAGTGTTGACACACAATGAGTAAAAAACAATTATGGTTGGGTGCCAGGAAGTTAGAAATAACGGCATCGGCTCTTTCAAAACCTGGCTCTTTCATACACACTCTCCCCTATTCAAGATTAACTCAAGATGAAATTTGTTAATTAAAATTAAAAAATAGAAAACTAATCGAACAATAGTTGGAGGGATCGGAGGGATCATTTTAACAACAGAGTTTGGAAAACCTTAATATCAGCTGGACTTAGAACCATTAAACTGAGTTTTAAATCTGTACTAAATTAGAAGACAACAAGAAAAATTTTGAAACCACTATCAAGAAGGCACAGGCAGAAGGCAATAAGTAGAGCCAAAAAGATCCAGCATTCATCATCCTAGCCAGGAAACAATGTAACAGGTTTACATCTATGCCAGCCTAAAAAATGAAGAAGGGGTGCGATGCTGGTCAACAGAAATACTCTGCTTAACCCTAAAATTTTTGCCAAAGAGGTCTTCTACAAGATTTATTGATTTGATGCAATTAACATCTGCCCAAGATTTTTATCAAGCCACTATCTCTAGCCTTTATACAACTAATAGCCCCAATGCGAGGGATTTTCGGTCAGAGTTTATTTCCTAGCCTTTGCCTAGAAAAGCAAATTCTACAAGGCAGTAGGACATGAGGCAGGTAGTACTGGATTACATGTTATCAGTAGCACAGGGCTCAATTTAATTTTTTATAAATGTACGATCGAAACTTGTTTGGGTCGGACAGCGTCCAATCAAATTTTTTAAATATAATATTTACTGTTTTACAGAACCGAGTTATGCAATTTTTGTCATGTTATTCAGTTTATTTAACGTTAGTCTATTATTTACAATATTTCATCACAGATTTTTTTTTTAATAAAATAGTTTCAATTCAAAATTGTATGTTTTTTTACATTGTACTTTTTTCTTTACATATAATCTATATATAACAATACATATAATCTAATATATTACAATCTATATATTACAAATAATACATATAATCTAATATATTACAAATAACATATAATCATTAGATATAATGATTGTTAAAATAAACGCATTATTTGTAAATTCAATGTTATATTTAAATTTTTTTCAAAGGGTATGTATTTTTTATGATAAATTTATATGTTTTAAACTACTTTTCCATGTCTTTCTAACAATTTTTAAAATAATATTTCTTTAAGTTACTTTGAATTATGAATAAGTTAAATTAAATCTTCCCATGATTTACTTGTTTCGTTTTTTTTTTTTTTTTTTTAATAAAGAATTGTATAAAAGTACTTTTTTTTAACTTCACTAGTTCTAACTTAAAACTCAACTAATTAAAGCTCGAAATGATTAAAAATTACGAATTTAAAATATTTTTGAAAACGTTGAAATTTTAAAAAATTACAATTTTAAAACAACAACAACAACAACAACAAGCTATTTATTTTCCGTAAATCATTTTACAATAGTTTTGATAATAATAATAATAATAATAATAATAATAATAATAATAATAATAATAATAGTAATAATACCAAAAGTATATAGTAATAACATAAGATAAAAAATATAATTATACAAATTATAGTAATAGTAATAATAAGTATTTTTACAATAATTAAATGAAAAAATAATAATAATAACTAATATTAATATAATAATAAGTTAATGATTTATTAGGATGGTGTCACTCATACAGAAATCTGATCAAAGGAATAACACCAATTTTTAATATAATATAAGTAATAATAAGCAAAGACACACACTGAAACACATGGACCGTAAACACACAAACCAAAGCACATAAAATATAAATCAAACGAACATGTAGAAATCAATTTGTAGGTTTTACTAATAAAAATAAAATAAAAAAAAAGTGCTGATGATAATTGTAATAAATATGAAAAGAAAACTAAAACAATATTTAAATCATAAGGATAATAATGCCAAAAAGTTAGAATAAAATCTTTTTAAGAATTTTTTTAAATTGATATTGTTTAAGATGAAGTAAAGGTATTTTAGGATATATTTTTTTAGACTCATTCAAAATTCATGCAAGCCTCCTGTTCCATTCACAGACGCACTGATAAACAATAGAACGTTTGCCATACTTCTGGGTTTTAAAAGTTATTTAGTTTTTCATTGTGTATATTTCTAGTAGAGTAGGAATGTAACTTAGTTTACTTTCTGTGAACAAGTTTGTGATAGGAGATGATAAGTTTTTATTT